AGTGGCAGCCAATTGCGCACAGCAGCGTCCCCACAAACAGTCATGGATTGAGTGACCAAATTATTTTTTTAAGTGATTATTTCCCACGGAAAAGCGATCCGCCAATCGACTAACAACCAGTTTCCTGCTTACTGCTGGTAAACAGAGGCGTGTGGAGTAAAGAAACTTTCCAAGGGTTTTGCCCTGCTCGGGAATTGAACTCAGGTCCTCTCACTAGCGAAATGAGTGCTCTAACCACTGAGCTAGAGGACTCTACATTTACATTGAAAGAGATGATATTCTAACAGCAGCATTTTGCCCAATACCCAAACTGGGTGTTTGCCTGGATCTGCGATCTCCCCCGTTGATAGTTTTTAATGAGTGTTAATTCCAGCTGGTGTTCTGCGGTCTGGATAAAGGATACTGCGGTTGAAAGATTGCCTGTATTTGCCCATTATCCTGAGTAAACACCAGGCATCTGCTCTGGCAATTAACTTTGAACAAGGCTTCATTTCTCCTTTGGTGGAAGCGAGCAGGAAAAGAAAGCTTTGCAGGCCAGTGAGCATGTGAAAAATAGCTTACACGAAGCAAACAGCAATCACTTTGACTCTACAAGTCATCCCATCCTAACTGCTTGCCTACAAAATACACAATAAATCCTGTGAAGGACTTTGAGACGTCCACCCGACATGAAAGGTGATATAATCAAATAATAATGATCCTCGCTTTTGATACAATGCCTTTCACCTCAGAAGGATGTCTCAAAGTGCTTCACTTGATATAAGTAAGGTGTAGTGGATGTTAAAATAAACAGTCACTACACTTTGTAGTAAATCCTGTGAAGCACTTTGAGATGTCTCCAGGATGTGATAAGGGCTATATCAAATGCAAGAGGATTGGGAGGATTGTTGGCCAGGACATTGGGAGAGAGAAACTCCTTCTCTTTCCGAACCCCGCATCTCTATCGTTCCCCCTGAACAGGTAGATGGCATCTCAGTTTAACATCTCACTCAAACGATGGCCACTGATTTGTACAACTGGTCTGAAGTGAAGACAGTGGAAATCAGCCTGGTACTGACCAGGGTCAGACTCCGCCACAGTGAAGCCCTCCGGGACGCTATCCGGCGGACAGGCGCAGTGTAAATGCAAGTTGTTGTTGTTGTTGTCATGGTGACAGATTTTCCGCAGTTTGGGCTAACAATCCCACCTCCAAAAAAATAACAATCCCCAAAAAGGATAATTTGTATCAGTGAATGAAAGACAAAACAGAACTTCAGACGATCATCAGGTAACGTGAAATTTACAGTTGACGTCAGAAACTGGCTGCTGCTTCAGGTCGGTAGAAACTCATGTCCAAGAACCAGCAACGTACTGACTTTTATAGCACCTTCTCTCACCATAACATCTCCACATGTGCCTCAGCAATTACTCTCAAGGGCGTTGACTGTTTCTGCAGGAATTTTGCACACAGGCAAGGAAGTGTTCAGCCACCGGTCTACCCCCTCTACCCCCCACTGCACACCCACACAAAATGGGGTGATTGACTGATCGAATCCGAGGATTATTGAAACTCCCTTCTCTTTCCGAACAGCTCCACAGGATCTTTAATGTCCACCGGGACACAATGTCCACAAGCTTTCCCACTGCTTGTCCAGCTAGGACCTCTCTACCCGTTAGGACTTTGACTTACAGGAACAACAACTACAACAAAATGACATCTATAGTGCGCCTTTCACGTCGGGAGGACATCCCAAAGCGCTGAGCAGTCAGGTGTCAGGACCTGAGCATGGGTAGGGGTGGTTTAGGAGTGAGGGAAGGCAGAGAGGTGGGAGGGAGAAAGGTCTTGAGACCAGCCTTGAAGGAGGCAAGGGAGGAAGCAAGGTGAAGGGACCGCGGGATGAAGTTCCAGAGTGCGGCGGCAGAGAGGCTGAAAGCTCAGCCACCAATAGTAGGGCGGGTCGGGCGGGAGATATGGAGCAGCCGGAGCCTGATGAACAGAGGGAGCGGGCAGGTTGGTAGGGAGTCAGCAGGTCAGAGAGGTAGGAGAGGGCAAGGCCATGGATGGCCTTAAACGTGAGGACGAGGATCTTGAACTCGATCCTCTGGGGGATGGGGAGCCAGTGGAGTTGGGTGAGGGTGGGAGTGAGGGGGTCACAGAGCCTGGTGCGTGAGAGTACACGAGCTGCAGAGTTTTAGATGATCTGCAGTTTGTGAAGGGAGGAGTTGGGAAGGCCGATGAGGAGGGAATTTCCATAATTAAGAACAGGAGCTGAGTGGGAAGAATTGCTGCCCCCAATGGGTGAGGGAGGTGAGAGGAGAATATAGGGAAGATTCACACTGGCTCAGTGTGCTCTATAGGGACAGGTGCTGCCAATGTGTTTATGTGTATCATTTGCTTGACTCAAAGCACTGTAAACCTAAGCAGGACAGGTGTCACACTCACTGTCCACACTGACTCCATGTCTGTACTGTCCACTCACAAAGCAATAGGCATTATACACCTTCTTAGTAACATATTCTCTCAGACTAAATAAAGTGCACAAACAGAAACAGTTTGACGAGGACACCCGGCTAATGGCAAAGTGACTAACTGGGCGACAAACATTTAGGATAAGTGATTTGATGTCTCCCCCACCCCCCCGGGGTGTTTTGAGCTCACAGATGGCAAGCGGTGATGTGTTTGTTTTGAACTCGTAAAACAGAGGCTCGGGACTGATCTCCTCACAGCAGAAATCAAACTGCAAGAAACTTTCATAGCCACAGTGACAAATGTCACACTGAACCCTCATGTAGTGACTAAATCCTAATGTAGTGACTGAACCCTAATGTAGTGACTAAACCCTAATGTAGTGACTGAACCGTAATGTAGTGACTAAACCCCAATGTAGTGACTAAACTCTAATGTGACTAAAACCTAATGTAGTGACTGAACTCTAATGTAGTTACTAAATCCTAATGTGGTGACTAAACCCTAATGTAGTGACAAACCCTAATGTAGTGACTGAACCCTAATGTAGTGACTAAACATTGTAGTGACTAAACGCTAATGTAGTGACTGAACTCTCATGTTGTGACTAAAACCGAATGTAGTGACTAAACCCTAATGTGGTGACTAAACCCTAATGTAGTGACCAAAACCTAATGCAGTGACTAAATCCTAATGTAGTGACTAAACCCTAATGTACTGACTGAACTCTAATGTTGTGATTAAAAGCTAATGTAGTGACTGAACCCTAATGTAGTGACTGAACTCTAATGTAGTGACTAAACCCTAATGTGGTGACGAAACCCTAATGTAGTGGCTAAACCCTAATGTTGTGATTGAACCCTAATGTAGTGACCAAACCCTAATGTAGTGACCAAACCCTAATATAGTGACTAAATCCTAATGTAGTGTTGACCACTTGCTCCCCTGTGAACACCTTCAGAGCAGACAGACCGTCCAAAGTTTATGTCAATTTATGCTCATGAGGTGAGAAATGCTGGGAAATGAATTGCTCTTCCGACTCAGCACCTGTTAACAACAACACCTTGCACTTACATAGCACCCCTCATGCTGGGTAGTGTCTCACAGCGCTTAGCCCTGCTTAAAACATCCTGAAATTCCTCATATTCTGAAAATTTCAATTGCCGCAGAATTTTGCAAGTTCTTAAATTCAGTCTGAACTGGAAGCTGTTTGGAAGATTGAAATTCTGAATCTTCAGACAATGGACTTCAGGCTGAATCTAAGAGAAATTTCAGGGCCTCTGGTGTTGATTATTCTGCACTAAGCTGCTCCTCTCTGGCGTATGGAGCACTTGGTGTCAGCGGGATTGGCTTATGGTGAATAGTTCGGCCTTTATCATTACAAGATCTAGAAACTTGAGGAACTGCCTTGATGTGCTGAATGGCCTCCTCCTGTTCTTGTTTTCTCACGTTTCTAATGGGAATAAATGCTCTCTTAATCCATATTAAAAAGTGACCTTTAAAAACAGAATTGATTACCCTTTTAAACAGCTCCACTTTGTTGTTCTCTGCATCTGTCAGTTTAACAGTGTAGTCTCCAGCCTGAATTACTAACATCTGAGTCGAGGTTTTAGTCAACCTCCAGATGTGGTTCCATTGAGGACGTGAGGGTTTATTAACCAAAATAACTGTTAACATTGGCTTCTATTTATGCATCATGTTTAAACCATATGTAAATGCATGTGGATAGACGGAATCACAAGTGTCATTAAATATGCCACAAACAACCAATGTTTTCTCATTGGTTGCCAATAATTATTATTAATAATTAATATTGTGCCTTTTACATCAGGGAGAATACTCACAGGATTTTACTGTAAAGTGTATTGTAGGGGAGGCTCTCATTGTCGAGTACTATGGAGCTTTTTTTGCCCAGCTGGGTGTCTGACACACGCGGAAACCTGTCACCGTTGCTTAAGAGTCTCCAAACCAAGTTGAGAATACCACCTACACATGGAAATCTCAGAGATAGATTGTTGGAATGGAATAACCCCTCTCTCTCTCCCTGGAGGGACGCTTCCTGCTAACTAATTCCGGAAAGTATTAGTTGCAGGTTGGCAAGAGCCAAGGCTTGGGGGGAGCCCAGAGTGTGTGTTGGGGTAACTGCTGGAGTCTAACCAGCTAAAACCACGTAGTTTGCCATTGATATCACTGTCTGGCAAGCTTTCCCGCTGCTTCTTTAGCCAGGACAAGATCCTCTTGGGGTGGGGGTGGGGGGGGCTTTGGCTTACAGGGTCCGACATTCCATTGACAAACATGTCAATTTTAGGAGTTGTGAAATATCTGGATTTTAATAGGAGGCACATAAGTGTCTAGGCGGAGTTTTACGTTTAATCACTGGCTGAGCAGGCCACAGCACTGAATCAACACAGGTCATGGACAAAGACTGCAGCAAGTACAGAGAGAAGGAAACCAAAACAGTAATTCACACTGCAGCCGGGAGGGAACACGATTAACAGCAACAGCCTTGGCCATACACGTACAAATACCTCAGTGATGTAAGGACATTACTCACCATTTACACAGATCTCATAAGCCTCACACACATCAGTTTCAAATAAGCAGCCTGCAAGTGAACACAAGGAAATCTATTAGATATAATAACAATAATATTGCTGATAATAATCCTTGCAGTTAATATGGCATCTCCCGTGTCAGGAGGGCGGACATTGTAGTGACTATTGTATTTAATTTAGAAGCTGTTTCTCTGTATGTAGCCTTGCTTAAAAGCTAAGGCGGTTTGCAAACATTCCCAGTCAATGAAGCATTTTCCGAACTAGAAAATGATTGGAGAGAGAATTTAATCAGCTCTTTCTCTGTAGATAAAGAGAAAAGGATGCATTTTGTTGCTAATGATGCAGGCTTGTCAGGAAGAAGAGCAGGAAGCAGACCAACCCCTATTAACCTTTTGGGGGATATTTATGATCATTACTGATGGCGTTAAGGGGGGCGACGGAATGAGGATTTTTTTCATTAGATAAACCTGGGTAATAGGGCACGGCATATAACACAAGCCGGTTCTGTGGAACAGGCTCCCTAGGGAGACGATTGAAGCCGGAAGTGTTGATTCTTTCAAACACAGATTAGATAGTTTTCTTTTAGGAAATAACATTATGGCAAATGGTACATAGGGAGTTCGGAACATATGTGCAAGCGACTGCCAGGAAGGTGGAAGGCGAACTAGATGGACCTTGGTGTTTTCTCATCTAGCATTTCTTATGTTCTTACAAGTCCCATAACAGGACTTTGACCTCACAGCGAAGGCTGATAAGTAACATGAACTGAGGGAGTGACGTTCAATCAAAAAACAAAATACGTGGTTCTGAAAAGGTTTTGCCAATTATTTTGTAATGATTGTATTCTCCCAAATAAGCTTGTGTTAGTCATCCCTTATTCATTATTATTATTCAGACTCAGTGTTCACATGGTGGGAGCTGCGTTGGGTGTCAGGTACAGTCGGAGGCAGGTAATGAGGTGGAGAAAAGTGGTCCTGGTCAGACTGAGAAAATACCTTCTCTTTTCAAATAATGACCCATGGGATCTTTAACATCTACCTGAACAATCAGATGTAACCTTAGTCTAATAAAGGATTATCCAAAGGAAGGCACACCCAACAATACAGCCCCAGACCCCCTACTCACACACACACGTTGGAGTCAGCCTAGACTGTATGTCAAAGTCCCGACCTGGGGCTTGAACCCATAATCTTTTGACTCAGAGGAGAAAGTGCTATTAATTGAGCCGGACTGACATGTCATAAGATCAGAAGATTGGTTAGTATGAAGCAGGCCCTTTGGCCCATCCCATCTCATCCTTTCAGAACAACCACTATCCCGTCCCCCTATCACAGCATCAAGCTGCTTTTTAAATCATTAACATGGGTACAGGGTGCAGGACCTTTTTTACGCTGTCAACTGTGTTATGTGTTATTCCATCGCACACTCGGGTCCCCAAGCCTTAGCAGTTGTCAATCTGCACCTAATACATTTCAGAATTAGGCAAGATTATCAATAAAATACTAATATTTTTATATTTCATAGATTTTAATCCTGCTCCCAATAAGTATTTAATCCATATTTAATCTGCAGCTCCAAACAAATATGAACTCTGGAAACCTATTACCACAGCAGAAGATTGACTCATCATTTCACATCTCTGTCAACACCTTTTTCTTAAGTGAAACAAATTAATAATTGGATGTAAGTAATTAATATTAGATGCATCCCTCCAGGGAGTGAGCGCGTATTCCATTCCAACAATTTCTCTCTGGGATTTCCATGTGTAGGTGGGATGCATGGAAATCTCAGTTTGGTTTGGTGACTCTATTAAGCAACGGTGATGAGTTTCCACATGTGTCAGGCACCCGGCAGATCACGGTGATGGGTTTCCACATGTATCAGGCTGACCAAAAACAATAGAGTCCACTGACTGAGGCTGTCACAAACGCAAACCCTGGCTGAAGTGAATTCCATTTCCTGCCGGTTACATCTAATTATTAACATGCTTCACTTAGCAAAAAAAATTTGGACAGATGTGTGAAATGATGAGCCAATCTTCTGCTGTGGTAATAGGATTCCAGAGGTCATATTGTTTCAGAGATGCAGATTAAATTCTTATTGGGAGCAAGATTAAAATCTATGAAATATTAAAATATTAATTTATATTCAATTATGAGTATGTGTGTGTAGTGGGGGAGGGGGAGGACATCCCTAATGATATTCATTAAGTTAATGCTAAGGTAACAGATTCTTAATGAAGGTGAATGTTGATGATAAACTGCTCCTGTGCCGTGTCTTTCATGTCACAGAAAAAGAAGTTTCTGGTCCTGGCAAACAAACACCCAGATACAACTGGTCATTTACTTCAAGGCTGTTCATGAAGTATTGCTGTGCGTAAATGGTCTACTTAGTTACAGTAAATCCTATGAAGCACTTTGAGACAACCTCCCGGCATGAAAGGCACCACATCAAATTATTATCATTGAGCAACACTCTCTCTGTGAGTTACGTCTCTATTCCAAAGCGAGTAAGTGAGGTCGATTGCTTTATTAAAAGAGAAAAATGTGAAGTTAATCCTTTCATGGGAATGAAGTCCCAGCTGATGGTCTGGCAGCTGAAAGCAGCAGCAAAAGGTAAATGAGAAGTGTTCCCATTCACAGCGTTTTGCTTCTGCTAATGAACTGCACTTAGAATGAAGTATGTGCCTGCATTCAACATGAAAATCCTACTTGTTTACTCACAAGGTGGAACTCATTGCCGAAGCTGTGGTTGAAATAAATAGCATCAAAGTATTTTACTGCTTACTCCCCACCCACCCACCGCCTCTGCTTGACTGGGGCTCCGGCCTTCTGCTTGATCCTCATTCCCTCCGTTCCACCATCAGTGACTGCACTTTTAGCCACAACGCCCTGAAACTCTAGAACACTCTGCCTCTATTCCTCCACCTTGCCGCTTTCTTTCCCATCTTCAGGTTGCGACTTCAGTCACCCTGGTTGGTGTTGTGCTCTGCCATGGTCACTCGCTCTGAGACGTTACCCTGCATTAGGGGCGCTGTATAAATGCAAGTTGTTGTTGTTAAGTAAACTTGGTGCATACATGAGGGGAGAAGAGAACAGCTGGCTATAGGTGCGGGGCTATAGGTGAGGAGCTATAGGTGAGGAGCTATAGGGGTGGGGCTATAGGTGAGGAGCTATAAGTGAGGGGCTATAGGTGAGGAACTATAGGGGTGGGGCTATAGGTGAGGAGCTATAGGGTGGGGCTATAAATTGAGGGCTCTTGGTGAGGAGCTATAGGGGAGGGGCTATAGGGGATGGGGCTATAAGATGCTATAGGTGAGACTCTATAGGGGAGGGACTAAAGGGGAGAAGCGAGAAGGAAGACTGTAGGGGAGGGGCTATAAGGGAGATCCTATAGGAGAGAGGCTATGGGGGAGGAGCTATAGGGGAGGGGATTAGGAGGGATGGGGAGGGGGTATATATGGTATAAATATAAATCTTGGCACAGGCTAATTGACCCAAATGCACCAGCTTGTGCTGTATCCCATCACTGCAAAACACAATATTAGGATAACACTCGTGTCCGTGTGTTATTTCAATATAATATTATTGTTCTCAACTGAAATGACGGCTGTGTTTTGCCTACAAAAAAGTAAGTCAATTCGCTTGACAGTAATCACCTATGAAATAGTTCTGAGACGTTTTGTTTTGATAAACACTATAAGAATAAAAGCTATTTATTTGCAGACTACAGAAGTGCCATTTCCATATACTGACGCTGATGCAGTGTTTACGTTATGTTAAAAACAGCAATCGTTCTGCTCCGTATAACAACAAGATTACATGTGTATAGTGCCTTTGACGTCGGGAGGATGTCCCAAGGCGCTGGACAGTGACAGCATTTCAGACCCGAGCTGGGATTGGGGGGGAGAAGGGAGGGGAGGGGAGGGAAGGGATGGTGGCAGGTGGCATGGTCAAAGAGGAGGGTTTTGAGGCAGGACTTGAAGGAGGCTAAGGAGGGGGCAAGGTGGAGGGACTGGGGGATGGAATTCCAGAGGTTGGGGGCAGAGTGGCTGAAGGCTCTCCCGCCAATGGTGGGGCGGGTGATGGGGCGGGTGAGTCGGGGACGTGGAGCAGGCTGGAGCCAGCTAAGCAGAGGGAGCAGGCGGGTTGGTAGCAGGTTAGAAGATCACAGAGGTAGGGTGGGGCGAGGCCATGGAGGGCATTGTAGGTGAGGACCAGGATCTTGAACTGGATCCTCTGAAGGATAGGGAGCCAATGGAGTCGGGCGAGATTGGGGGAGATGGGGTCATGGAGTTTGGTGCAGGAGAGGACACAGGCTGCAGAGTTCTGGATTATCTGCAGCCTGTGGAGAGAATTGTTGGGAAGGCCAACAAGCAGGGCGTTTGCATAGTCGAACCTGGGGGTAATAAAGGCATGAACAAGAGTTTCAGTGGCTTGAGGGGTGAGGTAGTGGTGGAGTCGGGCGATGTTACGGAGGTGAGGGAAGGCAGAGCGGGTCATGGCTTGGATGTGGGGAAGAAAAGACAGTTGAGGGTCGAACAAGATACCCAGGTTCCTGGCTGACTGGTGAGTTGAAGTGTGCAACCATGGAGGTTGATACTGCCAGGGCCTGAAGTGCTGAAGCGCTGGCGCGAGCCAATCAGGAGGGCCTCAGTCTTGTTCACATTCAACTGCAGGAAATTTGCCCTCATCCAGGACTTGATGTCCGACAGACAGTCTGTCAGGACAGCAGTGGTCCTGGAGTTGAGGGTGGGGGCAGAAAGATAGAGTTGGGTGTCATCTGCATACATGTGGAAGTTGACCCCATGTTTGTGGATGATGTCACCAAGGGGGAGCATGTAGATATTAAAGAGGAGACAAGGACAGAGTCCTGGGGGACGCCAGATGTGACAGTGTGGGGGCTGGAGGAGAAAATGTTAGACGCAACAAAGTGGAGACGGTGAGAGAGATAGGAATCGAACCAGACAAAGGCAGGTCCGTGAAGATTGAATAAAGAGGAGAGACGGTGTATGAGGATGGAGTGGTCGACAGTGTCGAAGGCGGCAGAA